TAAGAGTTGACTTAATAATAATGATTCTGGCAACATGTATACCCTCCGCTGACCCTCATTCTCTCTCTCCTCTCAATCTACAGATGGCTGTTCTTAACACAGCCTCACAAAGGAAAGGGAAAGAGGATGGGAAATTCTCAGCTTCCTGATGCTGAAAAAACGCCACCACTATGATTTTTACTCCACGGCAGACCACTCTAAAGTACCACTCTAAAGTACACACTGAATAACCATGAACTCCAGAAAGCCCACTACCCTAAGCACCAAGCCACATATTCTTCCAACTACAGATTAGAATTAACTCATCTTATGGAGCACATATGGCCACCAAGAAGGGTTCAGCGTGTCCCTAATGCCACAGTGCCATGTAAACATCAGATCAGGCTGGGTGCAGCAGCTCACGCCTATAATCCCAGCACTTTGGGTGGCCAAGGCAAGAGAATCACTTGAGCCCAGAAATTTGAGACCAGCCTGGGCAAAATGGTGAGACTCCGTCTCTATTTTCTTTCAAAAATCAGATCAATAGTTAGCTACGACACCTCAGGATTCTGGCATTCTAACTGAAGAAAACAAAGAGAACATTTTAGGACACGGAAAAAGGGCTCTGATCAAAGCCTCCTGAGGGTGGGGAGAGGAACAGAAGCTCTGCCCATGACTCTTGGTATCCCAGGATCGAGGGTCCACTGGTTTAACACAGGCCTACAGAGGAGAGACAGAAAACAGGCCACTGAACTTCCCTGGCGCAAAGGAAGATTAGCCAGGCAGAGCCAGGAGGAAGCTTGGTAGGGGTGGCTCAGCAACATTCTGAAGACAGGTGAGAACCAGGAAGGCAGAACGAGACTAGCGGGCAGATAGAAATCAGGAAGGAGGAGTCTGGAAGCCAACTGTATATGGAGATCCCAATGTTGAAAAGCCTCACTTTCTTTATTGTCTATTTTTTTCTTCTTATCTTTCTCCCAGAGGGAGAGGGGCTGAGCACTGGGTAGGACTCGGTTCAACGGGCTTCACAGAGAGAGTGTCCTCTGAGGTGGGTTCCAATCCTGGGGGTGGGACCCCAGCCTAAAGCATAGCCTAGCAGGAAAAGCTCAAAGCTCAGACATGGATCAGAACAGATGCTCAAGGGTCCTGGCTTTGGCTATGGGAACATGGCAGGAGTCTAGTTTGAAATATGAGAGTAGATGGGATCTTGGCCAGGTTGGAGTAGCTCATGCCTATAATCCCAGCACTTTGGGAGGCGAAGGCAGGAGGATCCCTTAAGCCCTGGAGTTTGAGACCAGCTTCGGCAAGATGGTGAGACCCCCATGTCTATTTAAAAAAAAAAAAAAAAAATTAGATGGGATTTCATTGGTTTATTAAAGGAAAGAGGAAAAAAAAGAGTAGATGGCAGACTTGTAGCAAGGTTGACTTGCTGCTTTTCACTTGAGCAACCAAATTAACACTGCTTCTGATTTAACTGGTCTAGTCGAAAGTAATATTTTGTTTTGTTTTGTTTTTTTGAGACGGAGTCTCCCTTTGTCACCCAAGCCAGAATGCAGTGGTGAGATCTCGGCTCACTGCAACCTCCACCTCCTGGGTTCAAGCAATTCCCTGGCCTCAGCCTCCCAAGTAGTTGGGATTACAGATGCCCGCCACCACGCCCGGCTAACTTTTGTATTTTTAGTAGAGAAGGGGGTTTCATCACGTTGGCCAGGCTGGTCTCGAACTCCTGACCTCAAGCGATCAGACTGCCTCAGCCTCCCAAAGTGCTGGGATTATGGGCGTGAGTCACTGCGTCCAGCCTAAGGTAATTTTTTTTTAAGTAAAGTCCACAGAGCAGTAATAGGCTTGGTTTCACAGACTGGGATTAGAGTAAGTGACTAGAGTAAGTAAACACAACTGTGGCATGTAGAGAGACAAAGGTAGGGAAGGTTATGTAATTAATGTACCTCAAGTGTCACTAAAACCATGTCAGGGCTGCCTGAGTTACCAATGTCTGAGCTGAGATGCAAGGTCTGGTTCTGCAAACTTAGCCTTCCCCAGGTCAACCCCATCTAGATCAAGCCCCACACAGTCCTCCAATCTCTCAGGAAGAAAGAAAAGAAAAGAAAATAGAAGAAAAGAGAAGGGAAAGAGGGAAGAGAGAAGGGAGGGGATTGGGTTTTAAACACACATCTCCTGCCGTTAAGTCTCCATCTTTATTATTTCAGGTGCGTCCTCTAAAATTCCTTTACTCTTAAGAACAAGAAACTTTTCCTTGGGAATGCTAAAGGCTTTTTGTGAATTGCTTTAAAATAGAGCAATGTAGTAAGACACATACCATAGGACTATATATTAACAATGATCTCTAGCATAATCAAGTTGCAAGATCTTAGATGAGGATAAGAGGAATTCACATATACTTAATGGGTTCAGCCACTGACAGAAGCCTCCTCTATGAAATAAGTTGCTTTAGGGGTCCCCCAGACTGCCCACATGTATATAGCTGTACTCATGGCTACATTTTTCACAGTGAATGGATATCAGCAATGGGAAAAGACCTCAAGTGTCACTAAAAGCACGTCAGGGCTGCCTGTAGAAACCCATGCACAGGCTTCCTTCTGTTCTCTCCCTCCTCTGAGGATATACATCAAACTTGCTCCTTGCTACAGCAGCAAAAAAATTCAATACATGCATGCAAAGTTTGTGCCCAGGAAAGTCCATTAGAGAATCAGCACCCTAAGTTTTTAATTTAGGCACCACCAGCCTAGCAATGAGATTTCCAGAAGGAAATCAGGTACAACAAAAAAGTGATTGGTAAATGTTGCCAATGAGACTGAAGTACTTCCTAAAGTAAGAGGCATTAGGGAGCTGCCAACCTGTGGCTATGGCTGTGTTCCTTGCAAAATAAAATTTTTTTTTTTTTTTTGAGATGGAGTTTCGCTCTTGTCGCCCAGGCTGGAGTGCAATGGCGCAATCTTGGCTCACTGCAACCTCCACCTCTCAGGTTCAAGCGATTCTCCTGCCTCAGTCTCCCAAGTAGCTGGGATTACAGGCACGCACCACCATGCCCAGCTAACTTTGTATTTTTAGTAGAGACAGGGTTTCACCATGTTGGCCAGGCTGGTCGCGAACTCCAACCTCAAGTGATCCGCTTGTCTCGGCCTCCCAAAGTGCTGGGATTACAGGCATGAGCCACCACGCCCGACCATAAAATATAATCTTGACAACTGAAGCAGTTATTACTACAAAGCTAAGAATGTTGCAATTACAGAATGTTCTCAAGACTGGTGAACATGGCTGAAGAAGGCAAATTGAGCTCAAGGTGCCCTTTTCTGAGTTACTGATGGAAAGGGTGCTACCACTGCTGGAGCTGCAGGACCAGCTTCTCAAAGATCATCCAATTTCCTGCATTCTCTTCTCTCTTCTCCCAGAATCCAGCAATCAGACATAAGATATACTTGTTGGCTCTCCTGCTAAGAAGCGAATGTGCTGATTAGCTAGCATGAGTTTGATTTAATAAAACAGCACTATGCTCCATTAGTCAGACTACCTAATAACAGTGATCATACATTAGATACCCACATGCCTTTCTGTTGATCTTCACAATGTTTCCACTAAGTACTATCTGGTATTGACAGAAGATAGCAAAGTATCAGAGAAGGGAACTGACCTGTCTAGAGTCACACTAGTGCAAGAAAGTGATACAGGATTTAAATTCAGAGGTCCTATTTTCCAAACTCATGTCCTTTCCATTGCATTGCACTCCCTCTTCAGCTAGAAGTCAGGTTAGCACCAATTTGCCAGGACCTCCTCACCCTGAAGGTGCGTGATAAAATCAAATATGAGAACCGACAAGGCCAAGGACCAGGTCACTCTGCCAAAAGTGCCTAAAATAGCCTTTCAGCTTCACCCATCAGCAGAGAGCCACAAAACCACTCCCAACTGCAGCAGGCTTCTTTTACTGTCTTCTTATCTTGTCGGAAAACATCCTCTTTCCATTTGCCAAAAAGTTGAGTGGGAAAATAATTCCATCCTTTCGGGGCTAAACATTGTGCTGAGTGTCATCACATACTGGTGGGCAAACAAAGTTGACATTTACTGCTCACCCACTCTGTGCCCAGCCCCGTGAAGACGCTTTATGCTAGAACTCATTTAATTATCAAGAACAACCTCCAACCTCATCTTACAGGTAACGATACAGAAGCTCTAAAAGTTGAAGTAATTTACCCAAGAAGACACGGTAAGTGCCAGTGCAGGAAACAAATTTAGGTCTAACTCTAAAACCTGTCTCCTTCCAGATCTCGAGGCACCCCACTGAGTTGCCTTTCACCTTTCTCCCAAGATGAGGATTGCTCCGGCACGACTTCACCATTCTCTTCTGAAGCAATCCCGAGTTCACTTCTCTGCCCACTGACAGTTCACTCTCTCTTTCCTGCCACTGTCCCTTCTGCAAACGCACAATCTTTTACCCAATCTAATGCCCCCAGCCTCGTAGAATAACACTGCGCAGTTGGTTTACAGCGAGAAAGCACTTTCAACACAGTGTTTCGTCTTCTAACCACCGCAGTCCGGTGAAGCCGGCAAAGCAGATAAAAGCATCCCCATTTTAAGAGAAAGGCATTTTCCCAAGGTCGCCGAATAAAAAGCAGCTGAAATCGGAACCAAAGCCCCAGGTCTTGACCCCTGGTCATCGGCTCATCCCACTGCTCCTCACTGACGCCCGCGATCCAGTCTCCACCCCCGCGATGTCACAAGATGCTCCCTGGGCCAGCAGCTCACGTTCCCCCTACCCCAATCCCACGACCTCCCACCTGCAGCGGCCCTGCAGGCCCCGCCAACCCCTCCCCCACGGTCCCTCTCTCTTCACCAGCCCCTCCCTCTGGGGCCTCCTTCCTCAGCTAGATCCCTCCGCTCAGACGCCCCCTCCCGCACAGGCTGCCTGCGAGCCCAGCCTCGGCCTCCCACCGACCTTCGTCCCGCCTCCACGCTTCGCCACCCCAGCCCCTCCTCCTGTCAGCCCGCGGCAGACCCGCCGACATTACCTTCTCCAAGGATGCTGGTCTCTGCACCGCCAGGGAGCGGGCCAGTGACAGGACCGTGTTGAAATAGAAACCCCGCGAGGCGCAGGAACCGGAGCCGCCGCCGCCGCCGCCGCCGCCGCCTCCCCGGGCCGGGGCCGCCGCCATCACCTCACGCGCTGCGGCGGTGCCCGCCGGCTCCCCGCTCCCGGCCAGCGAGCGCCCGACCTCAGGGCGCAGGCGTAGGCGCATCCGGCTTTCCCGCCACGTGACCTCTCAGTTGCCGACACTAGATAGGGCGTGGCTGCGGGGCGGGCCCACCGCTGCAGGGGAGAGAGGGGATGGACAGTAGGCTGCGGTTGCGCGCGCCGGGCGTGGGCCCCCCCCAGCCGACCTGCGCGATGGTCGGCTCCGAGGGCGGGGCCACGTGCGCGCGACGCGCGGACGGAGTTCGCGCGACGATCGCGGGGTCGGCGGGCGGGGCGAGGCCCTGGACGGCGGCGGTGGCAGTCCTCCTCAGTCTCCTTCTCAGACCGAGAGCCACTCCGGCACCATGTCAGCTTACCCTAAAAGCTACAATCCCTTCGACGACGACGGGGAGGACGAAGGCGCCCGGCCGGCCCCTTGGAGGGACGCCCGGGACCTCCCCGACGAGCCCGACGAGCCAGCGGACAGGCAGCAGTACTTGCGGCAGGAGGTGCTCCGCAGGGCTGAGGCCACGGCCGCCAGCACCAGCAGGTCCCTGGCCCTCATGTACGAGTCCGAGAAGGTTGGGGTCGCCTCTTCCGAGGTGAGCCTGGGGCAGGGCTGGTGTGGACCCGCCGGAGTCTACGTTATCAAACGGAGACGAGAAATGTTTTGCTCACAATCTTGAGAATTCTCAAGTTGCCTAGCATAGATTCTTGCACCTTAGTGACTCGGTGGTGGTAACAGTCTGTTAACTATGTGAAAGTGTGTGCATCTGGGGTACTTGAAGACAGCAGTTTACCCCAGAAATCTTCCTTAGCTATTAGTCTACTTAGTTGATTTTTTTTCTTACGCCTAGCTCACGGGAAAACGCCAGATTATTTTCTGTGCAGGTGAGTAAAAATTCTGAACAGCAGGTCCTGGGTTAGGGAAATGGAGAGTCTGTTTTTTCGACATTATTTCCTGTGTAAAAGTCTGGCACGGGGTTTCGGCCATTCTTTCCGGAGTGAGCCAGAAAGAGAGGACTATGTGCCTGCGAGTGTCAGGTGGTACCCTGAAGCGTCAGGGCAAGTGGTCCACGAGTTCTTTCCGCGTCATCAACCACATCTCCACCTAACCAACAGAGATATTGAAGGCCTGTCCGCCTAGACAGCTGCCGAGTTGACCAAAGTCTGAGTTTGGTTGAGTCCAGGGCCTTACCTTTACTTCCCAAATCCTAGACACACAGTGTGTGGGTTAAGAGTCTATTGCTCCAACTCACCTTCATCACATCTTCCCATCTTTAGATTTCACAGAGTAGTACCTTTAATAACAATTATTGTGGCCAAGCGCGGTGACTCACGCCTGTAATTTACCCAGCACTTTGGGAGACCGAGGCAGTCGGATCACCTGGGCTCAGGAGTTCGAGACCCGCCTGGGCAACATGGTGAAACCCTGTCTTCACTAAAATTTAAAAAAAGAGCCCCTCTCCAGCTTGGGCGACAGAGCGGATTCCATCTCAAAAAAAAAAAACAACGACCCTCCAGGATCTCGTCTGTTGCCTAGGCTGGAGTGCAGCAGCACATCTCAGCTCATGGCAACCTCCGCCTACAAGCGATCCTCCTACCTCAGCCTTCTAGATGCTGCGACTACAGGTGCGCTGCCACACCCAGCTAATTTTTTTTTTTTTTTTTTTTT